TGCCCATGATTTAAAAAATAAATTATAACATGAATGATATTCAATATTATACATTTGTAATTTGTTTACAACCTATTTTTAGAAGTATTAATGTCAAATTATCATTTTAAAATATTAAAATAGAGGGGGTAATCAGTATTTTGTGTTAATATAACTTGAGTTTGAATATGAATTTACGAAGGGTTATTAAATTCAAAGTACAGCTAAGTTGTTAATGTGTTTCATGTTAATGGATGAATAAGGAGAAAAGTGTCAACCAACTGACTGGTTTTACAAAAAAAATATGGTTACTGGTACTATAAATATATTATATTCTTTAAATTTCTAGCATTACATAATTACCAAGGAAGCTTGGCTTTAATACAGTTGAACTTGCCTCAGGTCGAATCCGAAATGCCATTGAAAAGTTGTTTAATTATTAGATAAAATTTGATTTTCAGATTCATTAATTATGGTAAAACACAACAATTTGGCTTGTAAAATAAGATCGCCTTAGAAATGATTCGAGAATAGGCAAAGTCGAATTAGGCAAGTTCAACTGTACAAAATTACGGTGATTATGGCGATTTTTTTAATTGGGTTAAATGCACATTTTTAACTTGTTAGGATTCAAATGAATTTCTGTTATTTTAAAAAGCTACCTTCAATCTTCATGTATTTCTGAGAGATCTGTTTGTGATCTGTTTAAATGAGCTTTAAGATAGCTTTTATTGTCCATTAAAAATAACAGAAATTCATTTGAAACCAAACAATGTGCAATCAACCCAATTTCAAAAACAAAGCGGCTATGTTTATGCCGAGATGTAGTGCCTTAAGATAGCGAGAGTAATTTTTAAGGGAAAGGTAATGCAAAGCCAAGCTATTCAACCCCACTCCCTGAATTTGCTTTGAATTTAGGACAAATTGAGTAGCTTTTATATGACAAATGTAAACGTGTAAATAAAAAAGGGAAAGTTTGTGTGCCAAGCATTTACCTATAGATTTTTATGATCAGTTTTCATGAATATCAAGCCACTCCTAGCCCCAAGCTTGGAATAATGTCATATTTAACTCTGACCCACCTGGAATGTGATACAATAGGAGTGGAATGTGGAGTAGGACCGAAGCAGCCGCGAGCCAGAATGGCCACCAATAAATAAAGCTTATGGAACGCCGGTGATGCATGCACAATTAATAAAGGGTACAGTACTCTCTCTAAATACAACACACACCAAACATATACAATTATGCTTTTATTTATATTAATGCATATAAGCCCAACAGTAACATGAAAAGAGAAGTGCAGGCAACTAGGCCAACTTTATTTGCTCAACATTTGAATTACCAAAACAAAATACAGTAAATATAAGAAATATGATAGTGTTACCACTGTCATACTGTGATAATTCAACCACTGAGAATAATATATTATATATTTGTTGAGAAAATTCAAATCAGCATCTGTTTTACATGACTTTTTGAGTAGCTATTTTGCAAATAAATGGTTCATTTCGTTAAAATCATTTGGCTTTATTAATTATTCATAATTTAAGCTGCAACAGTGAAGTTAGCAAGTCGGAAATGAGGAAGCTAGAAAAGTTACTCAAAAAAATCAGGTAACTTAAGCAGCGGAAGCTATTTGAATTTTTTCAACAACTTGTTGAACAAGTGTAAACAATTCAGCGTTTATCCCATGTTTTTATTATATATTATAATAGTATAGCAAACCAACCAGTAAACAATAAGCGAGTGTACTGTACAGTTTGTGCATACACACATTGGCAGCCGTTCTGGCTGGCGGTCGCTTGCCTAGGCTAGGCCTTTAGATTAAGGCCTAGAGTAGCTAGGCCTAGACTCGGCCTAGCTAGGCCTCATCTCAAAAGCAACAATAATTTATATCAGTCCAGACTTACCCTACACATACTCTCTGTACGCCTAAACGCTATCGTCAACAAAATCAGATTTGGTTTAACTAATTAAGCAATATTTTACACGTAGACCTACAATACTTACATTTTTCAGGTAAAAATGTTGGCCAAAAATGTTCCGGTACATCCATGTGTTGTTGTTTACCTGGGAAGCGCCACCTATGGTTGTAGAAAAAAGCAACAGGCTTACAGTTTGCGCCCCCAATCGGCCGATCAATGACATTCTCATGAATGTGACCATCTAGGAATTTTTTTATGACACTTTGGGATTTTTTGTTAACTTTTCATTCAATCTTGGAATTTTTTAATGATATGGAATTTTTATTTATTTAATTATTTTTATCAAGAAATGAATAAAAAGCTGCTAATGGTCATAACAACACCATTTGACAGTTGTGGATTAGGGCCTGTTCATGTTAAAAAAAAGAGCCATTTTGGAAGTTCAGGAATTTTTTTCAATTCCTTCTGATAAGGCTATGATTGTTTAAATCAATTTTCATCATTTTCAAAAATATAAAAAGGTACATTTTTAACTGATATTTGATATGCTGACTGCTGTAGGTCTATTACGTAGGGCTAAAAAGTTTAGCAAGAATATTGCACCTTGATGGATGCAGGAAATCTCGCACTGTCTCATACTTTACAAATTCGTTTCATTTTAATAAAAAAAAAAAAATCCATCAAAAACACTACCCTTACCAGCTTAAAACTCCCAAAAAAAAGTTAAAGGTTAACACCTTTTATTAAAATATGAGTTATGCTACTTGAATATTTTCTGTGTAATAGGCCTAATAATAATAATAATAATAATTAATAATACAATAATAATAATAATAATAATAATAATAGCAATTGCCCTGTCATCTTTATGTATATGATTTTATTTCATATTATAGGCCTAGTATTACGTTATACCTAATACTATAATTACAGAACATAAGCGTGAAATTTTTCGCAAATTACAAATACAAACAGAACATTGTTTTTACCGGTTTAAAACATTGTTGACCTACGTTATAAGATCGTCAAATCTGAGGACGACGTGTCACTTTTATGCAAATACAATTTTTTTTCCCACACACAATCACGACATTTCGTTAATTCAAACACTGTACAATTTCTAATTGACTTCTACTAGCCCCCCCCTCCCCCTGATAGAAACTCACCATAAACGTTTATAAATAAAAGTCACCCGCGACACGTCTGATACCCCTCTGAAACTCATTAGAATAATCAATTTTTCACTATACGCGATAATGCAAAAATATGCATTTTCGAGTATAACAGAGGTATAACGGCTTAAACGCTCAGGGAGTGGTGGATTTAGGCCTATCAAACCTACTAACAAAAAAAAAAAAAAAAAAAAAAAAAATCAGCTTAAATTCGTCTTAAATCCCAGGCTAGGTCTTTTAAGATACAGATTAATGTATTGTATGGTTTGGTTTGATGTTTATCCCTTTGCAAGCTTTTATAAAGTTTTTTTTTAATAAAAAATTACGACTTTTAAATAAAGAATATCTTTTAAATTAAATTATTGTACAGGCCTACTAATATTACTACAGTATATTATTTATGATACGTCTATTGCGTCTGTAAAATATTTGTCCAAAATCCTTTAAAACAGTCCTCAAAACGTTCTGACTGTACCCCCACTAGGGGTCTTTGCTAGGCTCTAGACCCCCAGCATGACACACCCCCTCACAAACCCACCCCCGCTCGGTCGGTACTATGTATATCACAAGACGGCTCCCCCTTTGCAGTGGAGTATCTAGCGAACATTGTAAAATATTATTCCCGAATTTTACTGTATTTGATATACACTATACAGTATTTGCCCACGGTAGAGTTGGTAGAACTTGAAATAGAGGTCCGTACTAAGAATCTATTGCATTTATCGAAAGAGTAGGGGAATTACCCTCTCGAAAGAGTAGGGGAATTACCCCGATGCTGTGGTTCATTTCAGCCCGTTGTCATGGAATGATGTGAACGAACTATAACCGCATCCTTACGGCGGCTTAACAAAATGACACTGCAAGTTAAGGTTACTTTTCCTACCTTTACCATTATAATACATTAAATTCTCTAATACACATTTTGTTTAATTAATTAGATACGAATACATATTACTATAGTAGTGGAATTGAACAGCTTAGTAGCTAAGATGCTTGCCTTCTAATCCCAGAGTCCTGGGTTCAATTCCTGTGACAGGGCTTCGCTGATAAAACCTTCACATTATTTCATTTATTTAAGAGGGCCCTGAATATCAGCCGACCTTCTAGAAAACTCTGGAAGGGTCACCCTCTATAAATATGGTTAATAAAAATACAATAAAAATTGTGGTCCATTTTTTCATGGGCAATAATGACATGTACAGTAAAATGTAACCCTCTAGAATTAAATAATATTCTATTTATTATTGGAGTAATAATATATAAATTCTAAATTGCAAAAAAAGTAAGTTTTACATATTATTAATAAATTGATTTTGGAGCCTTATAAGAGCACAGTCATGGAGGTTTAAACTTCACTGTATTTTTAAGTGGTTTAATATTAAATTTAAAGTAACTAAAAAAAGTTTAAAGTTTCATATTTTTGCGGGCATTACTTCCAACCTTGTAGTGGTAACTTACTTATATAAAAATGAAAAAAAATATAAAATATAACATTTTCTATAACTGAAAGAATTACACAATTCATAAACAATCGCAAAAATGTGTAGTTAAAAGTAAATATTCTTTAATTTCATTTAAAATGTAATATAACAATAACAAAAAT